GACCAGCCCCACCAGCCCGCCCCGCCTCCCTGGACGGAAGCGCTAGAGGGGAGAGAGGTGTTCGAGGCAGGGGACCGAGGGTGTGAGAACCAGGGGCATCCTGCGTTCTGAGTCCCCAGCCAAGCCATGAGTCTGTATTGTTATTCCCATTCTACAGACGGGGAAACAGGCTGGGCAGATGAATGTCTTGTTTAAGATTTCAGGACTAGTAAAAGGAGGGGTGGGATTGGAACCAGGAACTCTAGCACTCACTAGTCACTCAGGGCTGCCCTGAAGGAGTGAGACCGGTTTAGGGCTGGCAGATTTCCAAACTTATTTGTAAGGATTAATAGGTGTGACCTTTCTCAGTGACCGCATGACTGCAGTGCCCAGTACACCTGTTGGTGTGGTGCTGCTATTGACATGTAGACTTTAGGAGTAGCAGCGAGGGAGTGTGGGCCACGGTCTTTGAGCTCCTAGCATGGCCCTGGACCTAGGGGCTGGGGTGTAGCCATGGCCTCTGAGTAACCTAGGACTCATTTTCCAAGGCTGCTTCTGGGTCTCCTCCCACCTGGGAGATGTTTCCAGCAAACCTGGAGCATCCAGTGCCATTTACCTAGTATGGGCCAGGTGCCCCCAAGTCTGACCTCTGGAGAAGCGGGGAGGTCAATGGGCAACCTCAAATGCTCCCCCCAGCCCAGGGCCAGGGCCACGGCCACGCCAGCCTGGAATGGGTGCTCTGAGCCTCCCCCCGCCCCCCCAGATCACTGCTATAAGTGTATTTTCACTGAGGCAGCCGCAAGGCCAGTTGTGGCAGTGGAAAGAACCATAGCCTATCTCACCCCAAGTGCAGTGCTGGGAACAGAACAGGTGCTCAATTTATATTTATCAAACACATTTTAGGTCTGGGCCCAGGCAGCCCCACCCAGGACTGTTCCAGGCTCAAGGGAACTGTTGTGAGGGGACTTGGGGAGGAATGGGAGCGACTTAGGGGCTCTACCTGATTGCTCACAGGGTCCCAGTCAACTCTAGCTCCAGAACCACGGGCCTCTGGCCTGCCAGACACCCCTCCCTCGGGGTCCAGCAGAAGAAAACAGAGTACCTTGCCTCCTGACCTACCCTCCTTGGTCAACATCCTCTATGTAGAGAGGAGGGAGGCACCTGGCACCGCCACCTGGCATCAAAAGGCCCGCCCTTCCTCCACTCCTCCCAGGAGTCACCACCTGCTAAAACCTTTCCTCTGCTCCCCCCTCACCGTTCCACTCCCGGACCAGGCAGCAGCCTCCAAACTGGCCTCGCTGCCTTCCTCCTGTTAATCCATTTTCCCACAGCAGCCTGTGGTATTTACAAACACAGTCCGATCAATTAGCACTTCAGGTTAATAGAGTGAAGGTTTATAGGGCACCGGTCCATGTGCCAAGCTGGTACCTCACACCCACTGCTTCTTGCAATATGGACTCCAGCGGGCCTCCCCGTCCCGACTGCCCGCACGCTCCTGTGTGGCCCTCTCCAGTCCTTTCGCGCCCCATGCCTCACCGCCACACACAGCCAGCATGAGCTCCCTCCACCCTGCCACCAGCTGCTACACGTGGTTCTCTAAGCCGCCTTTGCACCTGCAATTTCCTTGGCCCTCGCTGCACTTCCCCTTCCCAACTGACGGACTCTTAGTCATCCTTGAAGACTCAGCTCAGTTATCACCGCCTCCAGAACCCCTTTCGGACTCCTCCACACACAGCCCCTGCTTTATCGCATGGCGCTCTAATCGCGGGTACCCTGGCCAGTCTCTCCCAGAAGCAGCTCTTGCCTGGAGCACACACCCGACCCGGCGCAGCGGGGCTCAGCACCCCCTTGTCGCCGCCTGAGTAAATGAATGAGTCAGTGAGCCAACCGGGTGAGCAGGCGGCCAGGGCGCGCGGGCAGCGGAGTCAGGCCGCGGGCCGGCCGCTCATTGTCTCATTCATCTCCAAGCCCCCCGCCCGCCACACTCACTCTAGTCCTGGCGCGGCCGGGCCCAGGGGGCGGGGAAACGGGAAGGGGCGGGGCGCAGGCGGCTTCCCCGGAACCCAGAGGCAGAGCCTGGCCAAAGGGCTTGCGGGGTGCCCGCGCCTGGAGGGACCCCGGCCACCTTTCCCCGCCCTCCCCTTCCCCACAGGAATCTTAAGTCTCCGCGGGGCCCAGCCCTGGCGCCACCGGGTCCTGGGATCCCGCCTGGGCCGGGCCAAGCCGACCCTCGGCCCCAGCGACCGCCGCTTCCCGCACGGTAGCTCCGGGTAGTCTCGGCGCCCGGTCGCCCGCCCTTTCCCCCGTCCCGCCCGCCCGCGGGGGCCTCCCGGGGCCATGAGGCTGCGGCCCGCCCCGCGCCCGTGCCCAGCGTACCCACCGGCTCGGCGCTTTCGGTGTGCGGGCGGGGGCCAGGCTGGGCGGCGTGGCCGGCTCTGGAGTCCGCGGCCCTGGCACGTTCTCCCCGCCCAGGGCCCGCCCGGGGCCGGGCCGCTGCCTGTCGTCATCCCGGGCAGGGCCCAAACCGAGGCGCGCGCGCGCGCACCCTGCTGCCCGGCCCCGCCCCGGGCCGCCAGTCCCGTCCAGGTCCTGACCCCCGGCCCTGGTCCGCGGAGACTTGGTGCCGCACACTCCGCCACCAGGTCCCAGGACGAGGCGTGCACACAAACACACCGCACACCCTACAACTCTCACTCTCCCCCCCCCCCCCCCCCAAAGAAAACCCAGCCCTTTCGCTGCAAAGCTGGGTGGGTGCGTCTGATGGGGTTCTCCTTCACCATCCTAGGGCCCCTTTCCACCCCCACAGCAAAACCAACCCTCCTCTTGGGGCAGAGCCAGATCGGTTCTTCCCCATTTGTGACTGCCTCTCTCCCTTCACCCCCAGTTCAGCCCGAGCTACTGTTCTGAGCTGGCACTGCTTTGGGCCCACGGGAACGGGAAGACATTAACTGAGCCTGTGCTATGCGCCCGGAGCTTTGCATGCACTAGTCCTTTGACCTCAGAGCAGCCCTGTCACCTACGTGCTGTTATGCCCAGTTCGTAGCCCAGCCCACTGAGAATCAGGGAGCAGGAGGAGAAGGGATTCGAACCCAGAGTCCCACTTTGAAAAGTCCTGCTCCTAGTGATGGTTAATAGTGGCGCTTAAAACCTTTCCCCTTCCTTCCATTTACCCCTCTTGTCCAGTCCCCTCCTGTTCTGCCAAGGATCAGAACCCCTCCCCACTGCTCACCTCTTTCCGAAGAGGTTTGCTTGAAAGAGGGCTGTGGGCCCTGGGGAGACACTGCCACCCTTCCTCCCACCCACAGCATCCCGGCTTACAAGTTTGCAGGGCCTGTGGGGATGAACCACACGGATGATCTCCCCGGTGGGGATCAGCTCCACTTGCAGCGCCATTCCGCCTGTGGATTGCCAGCGTGCTGGGCACTGGGGCTTCTGGGCAAAGGCCTGCCGCCCGCCCGCTGGCTATAGCGGTTCCTGCAGCCAGGAATCTGGTCTCACACTGGGATGGCCACTTGGTTCAGCTTCAACTCCAGCCCCAGGGGATGTGTCTGGTCCAGCTCCTCAGGACACAGCTGGAGCAGCCCAGGTCTGATTGGGAGGCCTCTTGGCCCAGAGGGTTGGGGCAGGAAGAGGAGGGGCTGAGTGATGGAGGAAATGCCTGTTGTCCCAGGTAACCAGAGCCGCTGATAGAGCCACCCCTGGGGTACCCTGGGCTCTAGGTCAGAGGGTAGGCGGCCTTTCCCCACAGCAGCTCTATGGCTGGGCCTCTCCCCCTACCCTCGCTGGTGTCTGCTGGAGAGCACACTGACCACTCCCCAAATCAAAACGCACATCCTGTCCTAAGCCAAGAGGATCCATCAGTAGGCACTGCCCCTCCTGCATGCAACCCCCACCCCCCTGCCATTTGCCTGCCTCCCACAGCAGCACATGAGCCCCTTGAGTTTGAAAGGCCAGGGCTGCTGGGGGCTGGCCATATTGGGAAGAGGGGGTTGGCTGGCTGGAGAGGCAGGGGGACACTGTGACAAGCCCCCTGTTCCACCCTCCTCTGGAGCCTCAACCACGTGGGACGTCGATGCCTGGGTTCCTTGGCTGTGGGCAGCCTTAGGCCTGCTGGCTCCTTACTTTCCCATTAGCACCCTCAGGTGCCCCCCACCCTGAATGTTCCTGTTTTTCTGTCTTCATTGTTGCTAAATCACAGCTGACACTTTCCTGGCCTGGGATCGAGCCCTTGGGTCTCCAGCCATTCCTTACGGAAGTGAGAAGGGGAAGTGGATGGGGGAAAGTGACCTTTCAGCGGGAAGGCTGGCATGGGAGGGTGAAGTCCAGCAATGGGCAGTCACCTTCCCCCAGGCACTCTTCCCTTCCCTCTCACAGCCCCGCCCGCCCAGGAAAGACCAGCAGAGCTTCCTTCCTTCCTCCAGGAAGCACATCCATCCAGGGCAGGCTCATCCCCGGCAGCCACACAATGGCCCTTATCAGCGGCGGAGCCAGGCACAGACCCAGCGCACACCAAGTCTCACATATTTCCTGTTTCCACCCAGTGGGTCAGGGCTGGGCCCAGAGCGGCCATATCCTGACTGCGGCCAAGAGGAGGGAAAGCACTCCCCCTTCCCCTCCCGCCTCTCAATCCCTGCTGGACTCATGCCTGCCAGGCTAGGAGGGTTCTGCCACGAGAAGGCAGAAGGCGGAGCTGTGAGAGGGAAGGGCAGTGAAGACTTAGGGGGCAGGGGGAGGTGGGCATGTCAAGGACAAGCTTGCTCCACAAAGAGGAGAGACAGGGGACCCCTGGACTCAGTAGCCCTGGAGATGCAGCCCCAGGGCCTCAGTAATCATGAGGTAGGTAGAGTGTTACTTCGGGTGTTTGTGTGTGTTCTTTCACACACAAACATAGTTGTGAATAGGTGCATTATTTGTATTTTACAGACAATTGAGACTGTGGGTAGAGATAGAACTTTGATTCACACTGGTCTAACCCCTGTGTCTCTCGTCCTGCATGCTACCACAGCTGCCTCCATCGTCCCACTTCCGAGCTGTGGTCTGACAAATGAAGGGTAGTGACAGCACCCACGATGGTGGTGCGTGTGAGAAGGAATGAAGTGGGCAAGTGCAAGGGTTCAGGGTTCTTCATGTGTGTGTGTGTATTGGGAGCAGGGATAGAGGTTACCATGGGAACTTCTGGGTAGGGAGCAGAAAGAAGAGATGGTGATGACTTTTTTTGTTAAGCCTCATGCAAGGATATTTTTCCCATTGATTTTTAGAGTGGAAGGGATGGATAGAGACAGAATCATAGATGTGAGAGAGACACATCGATTGGTTGCCTCCCACACGCCAGAGGCCAGGGATGGAACCTGCAACCAAGGTATGTGTCCTTGACCTGGGGCCCTTGTCCCAGGCCCACGCTCCAACCACGGAGCCAAACTGGCTAGGGCGATGGCGACATTTTTGGATAGCTTAACTCAGGACCAAGGAGCAAAAGTAAGATCTGAGAGAGCGGCAGGTGAAGAGGGATGAGCCAGTCAGAGCAGAGAAAGCACCTTTTCTGGAGTCATCAGTTCTAAGAAACCCATTCTGTTTAGCAGTGCCCAATAGCATGCCTCAAGTGGGCCAAGGACCCAGAGGGCCACTGTGCCAGACCCTCATCCCATTCCCACCCCGGCAACATCTGTTACTCTCAGACACACAAAGGCTGGTCTGGATCTATAGGACCCTCATCCTGGAGTCTAGCAAGGGCCCATCACTAGGTACCCCTTCCCACCACCATGAAGGAGTCACACACAAGTGTAAAAGCCACGTTTCTAATTATCCCCCGATGTAACAGACAACACAGAGAACCAAGGCCCGCTAGGGGCCAGTTCCCGATGGTACACACGGCTCCAGGGTGGAGTATGGAATGCAGAGCAGCTGGAGTGATTCTCAGTTTCCGGTTGCAGGGCTTATGTGACAGTCACAGAGCAGGCTCCCTGAGTATCTTTTCCTGGGAGAGGGCCGGTGAGTCACCAGTGGCTGGAGGCAAGTGGTAGGAGTAGGAAGAGCCATGTCCACAGCACTGGAGAATGCTCCCTGAAGACGCCCAGGGCCAGATTCTCCAAAACGTCTTATTCCAGCCTTCCTCTCTGCCCGCCCCCACCTCTAGGTCCCAGGTGGTCTAGAGAGAGGGCAGGTTTCTGGTTAATGACTTCAGGCAAGGGTGGGGGCAGATGAGCTCGACTGGACAAAGACCACCGTGGAACAACCTGCTAGCCCTTCACAAGATGGCAGGTTGGGGGCATGATCCACCAGCAGAAGTGAACCTGGATCCAATTCTCTGCTCAGGTCCTGGAACGTCGTGGGTCACACTCCCTGGGTACAGGTGGACACCCAACCTGTCCACAACCCCCACATAAGAGCCTGGATAAAGGGGCCCCTCCATCCTGCCCACTCAGTCATACTGCTTCTGTTCAAAGACCTTCTTCCCGTCCCTCAGGGAGACAGGCAATGAGATGCCAAGACTCCTGGAACCCAGCGCTTCTTGCACCAACCAGTCTATGGAGCCTGTACAAATGTGAGCATCCCCCCTCCCCCCAGCAGCCTGAGGCCCAGGATGGTGTGACAAGAATGCAGGCCTGTGCCAGATGGGGCATGTGCCTGGCAGGCCTGCTTGGGCAGGACTGGAAGTGTGTGTGGGGAAAAGCAAGAAATGAGATGCAAGCTGGAGGGTCCCGCCCACACCCAGTGGACAGCCCCCAGGTAGGTCTTCACTGTTGACAAATTAGCTGGTTTCAATCATCTCAGCAAAAAACCTGTATTTGAGTGGCCAATTCCCGAGATCTGGACTGGAGAGAGCAAAGGAGTATGGCTAGAACTCCCCTGGGAGGGGAAGGGTACTTGCTGCCGCCTCAGGGGGCTGGCTGGGCCCCCAGCACTCCTGGAAGTGGTGAGCAGAGCTGGCCGCCCGCTCTGGCCTCCGCCCTGGATTCCCCTCATCTAGGCTCAGATCTGTGGTTGGACTTCACCCAGTGGGTCCTCCTCCAAGAAGGCTTGAGGCTGGATCTGTGGGGATGAGACAGGCAGTGAGTGGAAGGGGAAAGACCAGGTTTTCCTCCGCTGTTCCATCACTGGTATTCCCCAACTGCTGCAGCACCAGGTACCGGTTGGCTCCTAGGCCTGTGGCCTCAGGGAATGGAGGAGGGGCTCAAGCTCAAGTCCTCTGTGTCCCTTTCCCGTTACCCCACCACGTTACTGTTACCTTGAACGGATTGCTTATCCCCACCACGGAATGTAGACTGTTGCTATAGTAACAGAGGAGAAACTGATCTTCAGTCTCCGGGATATCGCTGATGTTGATATAAACCTGGAGGGGAAGGTGGACAGGAATGGGGTCAGTTCCAGGGCCCTGAGTCCCACCCAGCTCTTAGCAACTAGTTATCCAGCAGCCAAGCCCGCCTGCTGAGATGTGGAATACCTATCTTAGGAAAGGGGCAGGTACCTGGTTCAACCGGTCGTTGAAGGAAACCTGGTTGTCCCTGACCCAGACATAGGACACGTAGTCATTAATGTGGCGAAACCCCACCTGTGGGAGGCGGGATTGGGCGGTCAGTAGTCTGGGAGGACACAGGACCTACAGCAAATCCTAAGGAGAGGGTGGTCTCATTCCTAGGTTTGGCTATCATACTGTATACCCACCCCTTCACTGCCAGCCCCTAGATGTTCTTTAGTCTCTGTGTCCAGCTCCCACGAGCCCTCAGGATGGATAAACTAGAAGGGGGGGGGGGTCGGGGAGGGGGTTGATGGCTTCCCAGCCTCGCCCACCACATCACCTTGTACAGTCCAATCCAGTCCCAGGGGCTGCTGGGGAAGTCTGGGGTGAAAGAGTAGTTGATAAGCAGAGCATTCTCCATGGTCCACAGGCCCTCTGGCATCAGGGAGATCAGTGGGACAGATACCAATGGCTTCAGCTACACACAGGGATAGGAAAGGGGTTGAAAACCCATAGCATCGTTCCCTTCTCTGAGATAAATGTCCTTATTGCGCCCTTCCAACGCGTAAGGGTCAGAGGAGGGCACCGGGGTGGGGGGCATAGAATGCTAGAGAAAGTAGCAGACCTTGGCTGGCCAGCTGGAAGGAGAAAGGACCAAAGGCTTGTCAGGGGTCACTGGTCCTGGCAGGAGGGACAGAGCTGAGGGTCAGGTGGGTAACCAAGCAGAGAGTCCAGTGCTGGGGGGTGAGAGTGGGGGAAATTGCTAACAGGTTTAAGGAGCCAGGTAGCTGTTCTCAGACCTTCGGGGTTCCTGCCCAAAGACCCAAATTCAGTTTTTCAGGGGAAGGGTGCATGTGGTAGGAACAGCTGTAGGTGTGTAGAAAGAACAAATGGTGTAAAGACAGACAAACCAGTATGAAAAGGTGAGGGCAGTCAGCAACTCAAAGGTTAACACTGACTTGGTCATTAGATGGCAAAATACAAGGATGGAGGGAGCTCCCTTTGCAACCTGATCCAGATAGGTTCAGACAAAAAGGAAGTCCAACTTCACATAGTAGGTAATAAGCATAATGGAACTCAGCCCCGAGGGATAGTACCAAGAGGAAATGGAAACCTATTCACACAGGGTTTGAG